ATTTAAAGATTACAGCTGATTTCAGTGCTGTGTATACATCCGCATTTTCAGACATGATTCGACGGTCATGATTCGACTAAGAGGTTACCAAGCAGTAGAGTATTTTACCTTGAATATCCTACCGGAATCAAAGCAGACAGTCTGAAATTTACTTTGATGATAACTTGAATGTTTCTCTTCTTATTCAGAAAAAGAGGACTGTGATCCATAATTTGTTCTCCTTTTAGACAACAGTCTTTAACACAAGTCACGCAATCTAATCGCAATACAGTACATATTATGGCGCGTGTTGACGTCTCGATCAATAAGTTTTTCGGCTCTTTTCTCTACCTTGATCTTTAAAGAAAAATTGTATTTTACCCTTTTTCAATAAAGACAAATATTTCTTTCTTTTATGTAAAGTTTTCTTTATCTGGTTTGCAAAATTTGAGCTCACTAGGGCCATAGGTCGCGGACCGTCTTGTGATATTTTTCAATGGTCGACAAAACAAACTCTGCTGGACCAGCAAATTCTTTCACAACGGCAGACTGATCAATTTATCTGTTGATTTCTTCTGCAAAACGTCAAGTCTTCCTTTTTTTTACCCATGCAGAAGCTAAGTAAGGACGAAAAAGTACCAACTTCAGGAAATACAAACTTGCCTCCCCGTCAACTAAATTTGCATCACTGTTACATGCAAATTGCGTGCGTAAATACCGCAACCTTGTCATACGGCAGAAGACTAAACCGTAAAACATCGGACCATTTCGCTTTTCGCCGTATTGATAATATTTCGTCCATTATGAAATCGCCTACAGAAATACATTCGGACTCGGCAATCGAACTCCAGGTTTATCACGAGTAGCCGTTCATCATGTCGCCGCTTTCCACGCAACAAGGCTTTCCTCTTCAGGCAAAACGCATTTGTCGGGATTCTAGCTTCGTTACAGTTATGTCTTTTGGTGATAAGCTTTCCTTGCCAGCCAGTGTTTCTCTCGCCGTTTCGGTTCCCACGGCAGAACTCTCGCCTGCCGTTATTTTTGCAACCGTTTACGTACTGCGAAGCCATACGTAACGTTATTAGTGTCGAATCATGACAGGTCGAATCATGGCCGTGGAATCAAGCCTGAAAATCCGGGTGTATACATAGCAATGAAATCAGCTGTAATTTTAAAAGTTTCCTTTAGTTTGGCCGGATTGTATTTGGATCGGCCGAGGCGGTTGATCTCCACTGACGCGTTCTTGGCTACGCACGTTAACGCACGTAAATTTTAATCAGGTCAATAAAATAGGGGCAAGATAAAAAGTGGTCAGCGAGGTTTAACTTTAACTCTTACGAGCGACCTTGCATGCATTGCCTCTATTTTAATTGCGAACGTAAATTTACGCACGTAAAAATTACGCGTCAATGGAAATCAACCATTATTCCAACCGCCTACTTGACGCTCCGACTTTTGCTACACACACTCGTGCGGAAACGCTTTAACTGACAGGAAGGGTTGCTATGATTAAACTTATCATAAAAAGCACGAACCTGACTTGGGATATGAAACCACGAATACATCATCTGGTCGCGTCTCGAAATTGGAAATATAGTCGGCTAGCAATGCTGTATTGTCGGTAAAAAATGTAGCAACTTTCACGCCCAAAACGTCCCAGTATTTTGCTGACGTCCATTCACCTTCTGTTATTTGAATGGACGGAAACCTGCCATAATAAATTCTTGCGTGGGTAGCTTTTTTTACAGGAGGGCGATAGCGTGACGTTCTTTACAACGAATAATTAAGGACGGACCATTTACTTTTTGTGGCGAGTGTGGGGGAGGCGGGGGGGTGGTTAGGCAATGTCCAAGGGTTAGGGTTAGGGTTAGGATTCCTGCAGAAAAGATTGAAGAGGAAAAAAATCGTGCACAAGTAAACACGTGAGAAAAAATCCAAGCAAGCTCTTTGTGCTCCGTCGCTTTGGACTTGTATTTTTCAGCTATTTTAAAACTATAAAAGAAAAACTTGATCTTCTTAATCTGTAGAGTTTTATTTATACATTAATAATCATCCACCCAAGATCGCTCAAATAAATCCCCAATGAAGACATTTTCAGGACCATTTTAATCAGTTCATGTTAAAAACAATAATTGAATTTGTAGTCTATAGCATTGTGGCAGAGCACTAAACTTTCTTTTATACAATCCATTTGCCAGACACAGAGACAAGTTGTGTAATAATAATTATAATAATTATTACCAAGAATCTCTCGGAGGTAGTCTTTTGGCAGGAACAGGGTGAAGAACTCAAAGAAAGCAATGAAGGCTGCATTATCACCATGCAAAACACTAACAAAATGTTGCAGGTGTAACTAAAGCCAATTGCCTTCAAATGATGAGAGGTACTTTTGGCGGATATTAAACCCATGAAGCAGAATTAAGTTACCTAAAGCGGTAAAACATCTTAAATTCAAGGGCGGATTTAGGGATTGACCCCGGGGAGCCCGGCCCCCCTTTTATTCGGGAATTTTGTTTCTTTTGTAAAAGTGTGTCCGATGGTACTTCGAGCTGTGTTACTTAATTAATATCTTCTTTAACCCATTCGCCCCTGAACCGCCCGTAACCGCCCGTGCGGATCCACGTCCTTTCTACCCTTTGTGACGTCATCAGTTTTAACGGTCAAAGAAAACTTTGTCCACTAACTTGTGCAGGGTGAAGAGATCTTTCAAACCATACCCGAATGAGCACACTTCAGTCAAGGACACCGGAGAAAGAAGCAAAAAATCATGTGACATTGACCTGAAAATCTCCCTGAAAATCTTGTTCCATTGCTCACCTTCCTTTCCTTTCACCTAATCCTAAGATCCTAAAAGCTTTCCTAAAAACTCTTCCCACCAAAACGAAGCCTACTAAATGCCGAGCAAGAGAAAAAAAAAATGAGGCAAGAAAAGCGAAAAAAGAGGGGAGGAGAGAAAGCGAAAAGTAAAAGTCAAGACTGCTGTGTCACTTTTAAACCCAACCCAAATTTTGCTTTCTGCGCATGCCCGAACTTCGCAAGCTGATATTTTGCATCTGGAACAGAAGGTCGCGAAGTGTACGACCTGTAAACCGGTTTGTGGTAAGTTTTAGCTCTTTAAAGCACGACAGTGACCAGAAAACCACTCGACTAGCTTCAAAACGTGTTTTTCGGCAAAATCTCCAGGAGCGAATGGGTTAATAAACATTGTTAATAAGAAAATTTGCCGAACGTTGTCTTTGTCGGGACGGGTTGTGCTCTCGCAGCAATCGCTTCGGCCCTTGCTAGCATCAAGTGTTTTAACAAATAATTAAAATTACTTCTTTGACCACAACCACGCCTGTGGTTTATTTAATATTTCAGCATTACATGTTCAATATGGAATCCAGGCATTTGCTAAACAGTAAGCGTCCAGAATGCACTAGATTAATCCATCTCAGAGAACTTCAATTTCAAACATTTTCCCGGAGGAGCATGCTTCCGGAACTCCCTAGAAAAGTGCGCCGTTCGCAGTCCTGATGGGCCATATCGCACCCATATTGCCACTTTATACATCTCTAGGCCCCCTCTATCACAAAATCCTCCGTCGGCCACTGAAATTCAATACCAGTAGACCTGTTAATGTGTTTGAGATATGTAAAAAAGTGTCATTTTTACCCATATAAAAAAATCAGAGAGTAGCAGATGTTTTACATGTGCAATGGCTTTTTTCTTCTGGTTTCTTCCCCTTCTTTCAAATCATAAAAGGTAATCCCACTGTTCACAAGCAGAATGGGGTGCCAGACTAAAAGGTCCACTAAATTGCCAATTAATAAAATAAGCAACAAAATTTAATAAAATTAATTAATCAATCAATTTAAAAGATCAACTGTTAAATAAAAGAAACACAATAAACACGTTTTCAAAATGTTTATTCAAACATAACTAACCCAGTGTTTTATAATCTCTACACAACCATAAACACTACAGATCAGTTTAGGTTTCTGGGCAACTAACACGCTAACACGCGTACAAAATCAATTCAGAAACAAGTCGTCGAATACGATATAAAAAGTCAGAAAAAGTACATATCCTGACTTCGAGGAATACTCAACCATCGATAAAGTAGGAAGTGCATGCTTTAGTGAGTTAATCCTGTTTCGTTTAAAATTAATCGCCTCCTCATTTCTTATCCAATATCCAAGCAAGCGAGAGTTGCCGCCGCTTTTAAGAGCGTTCTTGTTGAGTTCTAGCTTGGATATAACGCATAAATCAAAGCGTAAAATAATTGTCGGCTGTGCCGGTTTCATCCTCAAATGCAAAGCCACTAAAATAAATGAAATATCTATATGTACCAGAAAAAGGCAATGATTCACTGTCATATCGAAGTCATTGTATAAAAAGAAATACTTAGGAATAAAAGTGAACCGTTACAATTCAAAAGTTTGCGCTGTTGAGTGACATCAGTCATCCATAATTATGCATTATCCCCTCACTGACGTCAGCGAGGGTATAAAAGCAAACGTCTTTTAAACTTTGTCGGCGCCAGCTGGTTATAAGGAACTAGCCAAGAAATTATAGCCAATCAGAGACAGAAAATTAAAATTATAAATGATTAATGAATTATGAAACTGATATTATCTCTATCGTCTCAAAACTGCAGGTAAACCACGAACTCAAAACAGCGCAATCTATTAATGAGATTGTCATCAATCCATGACTTGTCGCATGTACATGGAAACTGCTCAATTTTAAACGAATGATTTCAAAAATTCGAGTCTATATAGAGGATATTACACGGTGGCGCGAAGATATGAATTTTATTTTCGAGTGGCAAAACAATACTTTACGAACGAGCGCAGCGAGTGAGTAAAATATTGTTTTTGCCACGAGAAAATAAAATATATATTTTCAAGCCGCCGTGTAATATAATGTTCCTTTTATTATACAGACAAAATGACATCGATAAAATAATAGAGGGAAATTACCAAAATTACGTCATTGTGGCTGGCCTCCCGTAGTACATACAACAAGAGGAGTTGCTAACAATCAACACGAACGTCCCAAACGTAGTTTATTCACAGGTCCTCGGTACAACACATTCTTTTTACTCCTTAGTTCTTGGATCCTGAGTCCCGAGATAACAATCTGACATGACAAATACATGATAGGCTAAATACGTGATTCGTAAGTACTAAACTTCAAAATGTCGTGTGAAATACTCTCTTGGGATTTTCCGTAAAATGTTCTTTTAACAGTTCTTACCGTTTAGGCCGTATAATGTCCGATGGATGGCGATAACTATCCAAAAACTTGAACAACACGAGAAAGGGCTAACATGGCGGCCGCTTACTAAAATCTGGTGCGGCTGCTAAGCTTTTACAACATACCGCTGACTGCGCAGCGCTGCAGTCACATGGCTCCCCTAATTGTTGCCTAACAATTACTTAAGTTAATGTCCATACTAGACAGTTAAACAAAACAAATGTTCATAAAGGCGGTCACTTGTGTCTTCTACACCTGTCGGGGCGACTTCACTGAGTAGTTGGCTCCTCGTTGGGGAATTCCTCGGTCTCCCTGCTGCTATCACCAACATCCGCTTCATCTGCAGAGGGTACCAGTAAGACTAATTTGTGGATTGGTCTATCCAGGAACGTAGATGGCTTTCGACGTCTGCCTTGGTTGTCAAGTTCTCCATCAGCTTTCACAATTTTGACTTTTCTGATACATCCGTCTTCGCTAGGGTAGACTTCTACGACTCTAGCGAGTGGCCATTGGTTACGTGGTCCTTCGTCTTCCTTGGATACGATTACAACTCCAACTGATAGATTTCGCTTTGGATACATCCACTTGTTACGAGCCTGCAGGCTATGAAGATACTCACGGCGCCATCTAAGCCAAAATTCGTTCGCGAGATATTGTACTCGGCGCCACCACTTGCGGGAATATAGATCTGCTCGCTGGAACCTTCCAGGCGGTGGAAGTACAACTTTAGCTTTCAAGGTAAGTAAATGACTGGGCGTAAGTGGTTCTGGTGCCTCTGGGTCATTTAAGTCGTTCGTAGACAAGGGTCTGGAATTAACAATACACTCTGCTTCAGTCATGAAGGTTCTGAACGCTTCGTCGTCCAACTGTGTGCCAGCGCTCAGAAGTAACGTCTCCAGTGCACTACGAACAGTTCGGATTAACCTTTCCCATGTGCCACCCATGTGGCTGGCATGAGGTACATTCATCTGAAATGGTATCCAATCACATCCGTTCTCCACTAAGTACTCTTGCACCCGGTTCTGATCCAGTTCTTCTAAGGCAGCTTTTAGCTCATTCTTCGCTCCTACAAAGTTTGTACCCTGATCACAGCGGAGCTGTCTGACTGGACCGTCGTCGGTTGAGGAAGCGACTAAGTGCGTTGATGAAGGAACTGGTACTTAACGAGTTGGCTGTCTCCAAGTGAACACCTCTGCTGGCCATACAGGTAAAAATAACTCCGTAACGTTTAACTTCACTCCTCTTTTCCTTGATCGGGAAAGGTCCAAAGAAATCTACAGCACAATACGAGAAGGGGGCCGAAGGTTCAACTCGATCCACAGGCAAATCAGCCATCTTCTGAATTTGCAGGGGCCGCGCATTTTTCTGCATGTAACACACTTGGAAATACAATTTGACACTGCTGACGATCCACCAACAACCCAGTAGCCTCTCTGGCGCAACTCATTTTGGGTGATACCTCGTCCCATGTGGTTCACTTTGGCATGCCAGAATCGAATCAGCAAATCTGTAATATGACTTTTACGAGGAAGTATCACAGGATGCTTCGTTGCAAATGGAAGGTTAGCTCGTCTCACGCGGCCACCAACGCGGATAACACCGTTTTCATCGAGAAATGGATCCAAACGATATAAGCAACTAGACTTCTTGACGGCTAGATTTCTTTCTCTTGCGATCTTTCTAGTAGTAAGCTCTCCAACTTCCTTAAGTTCCTTTAAAACTTGCATCTCGTCATGGAAATGTTCACGTTGAACAACCTTAAGAACTTCCTCTCTGCTGCGTGAAGTTCTGTAAGTGTGACTGATACCTTCGGTAATGGTCTGATGCTCTCACCACCCGTTTGTCTCGTCAACTTCACTTCTCTACTTGCCAGTTTGCTCTTCAGTCGTAGACACAAAGCTATTGCCTTCAGCACATGCTGCCAGCTTGACATGTGGCGCAAACGGCTTGACGTTAACGGTTCAGGGGCTTGAGTAGCTCTGCTCTCTACACGAGATGTGAAAACGGCTGCTTTCCTTACTTCAGGATCACTTTCGGTCACTTGAAATTCTTCTATCTTCTCAGGCTGGAAAGTTCCACTCTTCCAAAGAAATAAGGGTCCAGTTAGCCAGTTGGTTCCTTGTAATAACTGTGACGCTGTAAGGCCTCGCGAGGCATGGTCAGCAGGATTAAGTTCAGTGCTGACATACAACCAAGAACTCGGGTTAGTGACGTCACGAATCTGCTGCACACGATTTGCCACATACACATGAAACCTCTTAGCTTCGTTGTTAACATAACCAAGGACGATTTTGCTGTCTGTCCAGAAATGTTCCTTAATGTCCGTGTAAGACAATTCTCGACGAAGAAATTCACTCACGTTTGCTGAAACAGTAGCTGCAGCCAATTCTAGCCTCGGCACAGTGATTTGCTTTAACGGGGCCACTCTAGATTTCCCAACGACAAGGGAACAGTACGCCTTGTCCTCCACATTGATTAGTCGAAGGTACGAGCACTGTCCATAACCCTCTACACTAGCATCTGAGAAATGATGCAACTCGCTGGCTTTGACCTGCCCAAAGTTCTCCGGCTTAAAACAACGTTGAATTTGCAGCTGATCGAGATTCAGAACATCCTGACGCCATTTCTCCCAATGAGTATACAAACTCTCTGGAATTGGGCTGTCCCAATCAAGTTTGTCTCGGCACATTTGCTGCAAAACTTGTTTTCCTTTCAAGGTAACTGGGGCAACGAAACCACTAGGATCGTAGATTGAACTGATTGTGGAAAGTACGCCACGTCGCGTTGGGGACGGTCACGCAGCTCGATGCGGAATTGAAAACTGTCATTCTCAATGCACCACACTACTCCTAAGGCACGTTCTAAGGGCAGTGGATCAACCTTCAAGTCTAGCTCCTTTAATCCTTTGGCGCGATCTTCGGCCGGAATCTGTTCAAGAACTTCTCTTTTGTTTGATGAAATTTTGTGCAGTCTCAGGCCGGCCTTGGCGCAAATGCCTTGACTTGCTTTTATCAGTGTAACAGCTCGCTCCACGGTAGGGACTGATTTTAGTCCATCATCCACATAAAAGTCCTGTCGTATAAACTCAGCAGCTTCTTCACCAAACTCTTTCTCCCCATCATCTGCTGCTCTCTTTAGACCAAAATTTGCGCAGCCAGGTGAACTACCAGCACCGAAAAGATGAACCTTCATCCTATACTCAGTCACTTCATTTGCAGGATTCCCATCCTTCCACCACAAAAAGCGCAGGAGATCTCTGTGTTCCTCTGACACCATAAACTGATGAAACATACTCTTAATGTCAGTCATAAACGCAACATTTTCTTGTCTGAATCTGCACAGGATCCCCAGAAGAGTGTTCATGAGGTCGGGTCCTTGTAACAAGTGATCGTTCAGGGACACCCCTTCATACTGGGCCGAACAATCAAAAACAACCCTGATCTGGTCTGGTTTTTTGGGTGGTAAACACCGGTGTGTGGTGCATAGTTAACCATTCCATCCTGAACTCCATGGCGGTCCGGTGGTACCTCTTCTGCACACAAAGCAATCACATCTTTCATGAATAAGCGATAATCTTCCAGAAACTTGGGGTTTCTCTTAAACCTTGCTAAAAGTTGGTGCCATCTCTTGACAGCTAGTTCGCGGTTGAAGGGTAGAGACGGTTTGTCTGTCTTCAAAGGGAGAGGCATCTCGTAGTGCCCATCCGATCTCTTCACAATACCATTCTCAAGGATGTTGAGGAATCTCCTGTCTTCAGCTGAACAGGGCTTGGTATTTGCAGAACTTTCTGTAAAGTCTGACTCAAGAATCTTAATAATCTTCTGCGGGTTGATAATCTCTTTCACCTTTGTCGTAAAGGCAAAGTGTTCATGGGTTTCTTTGACCATCACCTTGTTGCACACTCCTTCCTTATGGTTGGCTTCACCTGTAGATTTGCACACCTTGCCGATTATACCCCACCCCATTAAAGATCTTTGGCCGTAAGGGTCGTCTTCACCTCCCACTAGGACTTCTCTGGGTCTGACGATACTAGGGCAATTATTGCCAATCAGCAAGGAGATTTCCACACTTGGATTGTAGGGCATGAGCTCGTCAGCAATAGGACACAGATGTTCCCATTTCCGGGCAACACTGGCTTTTGGAATCTGCGACCGACTGGCTGGGATGATATCTCGCTTGAACATCATGGGTAGCTTCACAGCATGCTCCCTTCTAAAATCCAACACCTCAACTCCACAAATACGGTTGCTTGGTACATGTACATTTCTCTCTTGCACTGTTGTCAGCAGCAAGTCGGTTGGTGGGCCTTGCAAGTCCAATTTTTCACACAAACTTTGCGACACAAAACTCACATTGGACTGGTCATCTAGCACTGCATATTGTAAGACTTCTTTACTGGGTTGGCTAACTTGTCTAACCCAAACAGGTACAATCATGGCATGATCCGAGCCGCCCTCTTGCTCTGGGATGGTACAAACATTTGTACAGTTCGTAATACTTTCCTTGGGAGTTTTCTGAATATGGAGACATGTAGGGTGATTTCCAGAACACGTGCGACATTTAAGTCTGTTCTTACAGGAGGATACTTGATGTTGACTGCTAGAGGCACATCCAAGACAAAGAAATTTCTTATAGAAGAAGTCCTTCCTTTCCTTGTGCGGCTTCTCTGCAAACTTTTTACACTCGTCTAGCTGATGTTCTTCCTTGCAAAACAGACATACTTCGGTCTTTTTCTTCTCGCTCCTCCCTTGCGAACAGGTTGGGGGTCTCTCCTTTTCACCTTGACCCTGGGCAGTCACGTTCTTGCTTGGATCCAATACATGAGTTTCGAAGGAAAAGGCCTCCTCGCCTTTTGGTGAGCGTCTGAATGGTCCTCTAGGCCTAACAAACTCTTTGGTTTTGGACAGCTCCTCAAGTTCGGGAATGTTCGCTCTCTCTGCACACTCTTTCACAAATGAAGCAAATTCAGAGAAGGTAGGGTAAGTACCATTTCCTTTTGAGACTCTACACTGTTGTACTATTCCTCTCCACTTATTCTGAATTTGAAATGGCAACTTGTTTAGAGTTTTAACGTTCTCCTTCGCAAAGTCTAAGACAGCAAGACTAGGAGTAGTTTCTCTGGCGGCAATTATCTTTTGCAGGAAGTCAGAAAGATCTCTTAGGGCCTCCGCATCTCTTACGCCAATCTTAGGCCAGTTCTCCAGTTTGTTCATAAAGGCTGTCCCTACTACATTGCAGTTACCATACCTTTCCTTTAACAACTTTCTCGCAGACTGATAGGCATCTTCAGTACCAATTAACATATACTGATCAACAACTTGTTTGGGCTTTCCTGAGATGTACTGATGTAGGAAGTTCAATTTTGTCTGCGCGTCCATTGGTTTGGAATCAATAAGGGCACTGAAGGAACTGTTCCATGTAGGATACTCCAAAGGATCTCCACTAAAAACTGGGATTGAAATCTTAGGCAGTTGCCCTGAGATTGCTAGTTGCCTGTTCACTAGGTTCTGCTCCATAGTAGCTGCCACCAACATACCACTTGTTTCCACTAATTTGTCCATACACTTTTCTAAGACGACAGAGTGTGGTTGAAAGGGTGTGGCACTGGGGCTTAACGTACTGTGCACTCCATTTTCTACACGCGGAAGACTGAAAGTGGGTTGGGCTCCATTTAACTGAGTTGAAGAGTAGATAGGTTCTTGCTGACCAGGAGAGAGATCTCTTACTTGTGACTGGAATTGAATTAAGGAATTTGTCCATGTCCTTGACTTTATCAGCGGGGGGAATCGAGTTTAGATCCTGATCATCAAACAGTTCTACTTTATCTGCTGACATGCATACATTAAGCTTTTGCTTGATTCTGAGCAAGTTCACTTTGTAATCTTAGCTCTTCCAACTTTCTTTTTCTTGTTCTAATTTGGTCAACTCAGTCTTTCTGTGTTCTAATCTCAGTAACCGTTCCTTCTCTATATAGGCCAGTTTAGCCTTTAAGGCAGCTTCCTCCTTTTGTAACTGAAACCTATCTTCTTCAACATTATCATTGGAACTTATTTTTGACCTACTACTTTTCTTGGATGCTCGACTGGACCTTTTGGATGCTTCAGAGATTGAATCATCCACGTGGTGTTCGACAAATTCCAGAAACTTTATCTCTGATCTAATGTCACACTCAAAATTTGACCATTCTCTGCCAACTTGATCAACCATTCTTTCAATATTTTCCACATTCTCATCTGGGTTCGCAAAAACCTTAATCTCTTCAACCATGTCTTGAAATTCGCAATACAAAATCTGAGCTTCGCTGAATTCTTTCTTAAATTCTACTAGTTTAGTTGACTGACCTCGCTTCAGTAGAGTACCTCTCATTCGCTTCACCAGTTCACATTTCTTAGTTTTCAAGTTACTTGTTTTCAAGTTGAGTTGATACGTATACCCTTTCTCCGTCAGGAAACGCTTCCTTGATTCATCAGTTTCTTCTTCCAGCGCCACATTGACCTGGTCTTCGGGTCTTGCTTCTTTGTTGACGGACATGACTGCTACACGAAGATCGTCTAACGATTGTTATTGTGGCTGGCCTCCCGTAGTACATACAACAAGAGGAGTTGCTAACAATCAACACGAACGTCCCAAACGTAGTTTATTCACAGGTCCTCGGTACAACACATTCTTTTTACTCCTTAGTTCTTGGATCCTGAGTCCCGAGATAACAATCTGACATGACAAATACATGATAGGCTAAATACGTGATTCGTAAGTACTAAACTTCAAAATGTCGTGTGAAATACTCTCTTGGGATTTTCCGTAAAATGTTCTTTTAACAGTTCTTACCGTTTAGGCCGTATAATGTCCGATGGATGGCGATAACTATCCAAAAACTTGAACAACACGAGAAAGGGCTAACATGGCGGCCGCTTACTAAAATCTGGTGCGGCTGCTAAGCTTTTACAACATACCGCTGACTGCGCAGCGCTGCAGTCACAGTCATCGATAAACTCACGTGTGAGATTATGGAAAATAAACCACTCGGGTCCCGGATGTAGTTTTTATGAATTTTACGAGTGGTATATTTCCAGTAAAACACTCGTGTCTATATAATAAAAATGAACATAAGAGCTCTATCCAAGCAAATATATTGTTTCCTTTTTCAAATGGTTGTCCGCTATATCTCAAAATCAAACTCTAATCCAGTTCCTTTTATTTTTCCCAACACTTCCTTTTCAAATCTCTCATTCAGTTCTGTAGTGAAGTAACTTTTCCAACCTCCGACCACGCCCTTCCGTAACAACGGCGAACTGTGAACGTCGTCCCATGGCTTGTAGCTGTTCTCATTTTCTTTCATTCCCTTGAAAGTGCACTGCTCTGCAATACGATTGATGAGTTCATCTGAGAGCGGCTTGTTCAGGAAATTCGCAATCATTCGCACATGGAACGGTAGATCCTAGGAGGAATGACAGTTGTATTGTTTAGATTTAATTTTCATTGAGGTTCAGAGGAAGTTGGTTAGTTTTTGTTATTTAATTAATTTTAGTTCTAATCAAACAGTGACTGCATTCAAAATTTGTGATGTTACGTAGGGGACAGAGAAAAACGATCTGAGTCCCGGACAGGGATGTAAACCCCTACAAACACTTCCATAGACTTATATATATTTATTTATTTTGAGCGTGGTCGTAGTTTAAGGTCGCGGTATCCATATTTTCGGCTGGGGTGTTCATTATGGATGACTTAGATAACTTAAAGATTAAAAACTTTTAGTATCAACTATCTCCCCGCTAAGATTCTAAAAGAATGAATTTGAGAGAAGCAAACACTACTTTTCTCGCAGACCGTAGAGAATTTTACTTCGATTCATTATATTTTCTTGACTATTCGAGCGTTTCAAAATCCTCAAAGAGATTCTTCATTAAATATTGACCTTTTCCTAGAAAAGCGAATCATTCCACAGGCCCGTAGCAGGGGGAGGGGCAGGGGGGGCTCGAGCCCCCCCAGAAATTTTCAGACTTGAATTAAATTCTGCTTCAAAAGTGGAATTTTTCTACTAAAATGGACAACTGTCAATGGAAGCTAAAGTTTCAAAGTATTGTCGATCATGGTAAGATTATGCACTGTTGTTCTTCTGTGCAATTTGGAATTGTGTAAATGAACGAAATCGTATTTTTGCTCTTTCAAAAACAACCAACAGCTTTAAAATATCTGCTTATTAAGCATCAAAATATTCAGAAGCAAAATGGATCGAAATGCACCAATGACAATCCCACCTGAACCACCTCATGATGTTGCATGTTCACAAGGAAGGAACAGATGTTCTGACCCTTGTAGACGTAGCTAATGACTTCGTTTGGGAGAAAGAAAACCAAAAGCAATTGTTTGGCAAATCTTCCGCGACTGATATCCCAAACAAGTTCTCTCTTTCGTCAAAGTCAACACAAACGGAAAATTGGAGACAAGAACAAAAGGTATTGTAGACAAAATAAATGTAGTGATCTCACATGTACCAAGAAGTATGCTTTAACCAAGGGACCGAAGCGGGAGGGGGAGTTAATGTGGGCCACTCGCTCAGCCCCCCCAGTCATTTTATGCTTGCTACGGGCCTGTTCCATTGCAAGTCCTTGTAAAATTGTAACCAAAGTTAGGCTCCATTTCCGCCGCTCTCACATTTCTCAAACAGCGGCTGGTAATTGATCAGGGGGGATACTCAACAAAGTTTTATAGGGGACGCTCCGCCCCGAGGTCCAACCCTCTTGATTGCTTGCGAACTTACTAGTGAAATCCCTACCCTTTTATATATCTGACGCGTAAAAAAGGTACCCCTTTCGGGTGGAGCCTCCCCGTATAGGCCATTATAGGGAGTCCCCCCCTCACCCGGAAATCGATCCTAGTCCAAAGTGCATGGAATTCCCCGCCCAAACTCTTCCCGAGTTCTCCCAGAGAAAAATAAATATAAATAAATATTGTCTTGCAAGAGTCTCTTGAGTGTCTTGTCTTGACTTCCCTCCACCCCCTTAAACACTCAGGATTCAATCTCCTGCAAGCTTCTAAAATATCAAACTAGCCACCGAGCTAAGAGTTATTCAGCCATTGTTGTAAAACAACATTACCTTGTGTAAATCTTCATATATTAGAAACAAGACATTAGGATCATCCTTATGTTTCCACCAGCCAAGAACATGATCATTCCAGGCGTTATAGGCAACTACACATAACAAAACTGGCATTATGGTGTGTTTTATATAATACCTATGATAGACCATATTTCAGAATTATTCACTTAAGGCGAGGTTAATATTGTTGAATAATCCCCGAAACTAAGTAACCTGAGTTATTTGAGTTATGTTACTGCCGTGAGATATATTCAGCAATGAATAAGAGACCGGGTGGGTTTCGAAAGCTTTGAGGAAACCCTCCGAATATTCTTGGTGGATGAAAAGTATATTTTACCTAAAATATCTGCAAAAGCCAAGTCGATAATTCAACATTATCACCAGAATAAAACCAGCAATGTAATTTTTATATTTTTTGTAGTTCGTTCTCTGTTGCTCAGGGTCTAAGACTGTCACCACGTTGACTGTGAACATTATGGTTGAATTAATAAGTCGAGTCAGGTCAAGCGTTCCCCCACAGATTGCATTAACGAGTCGATTATTCGAAAATGTGAGTCTATTTTGCACAACTTAGGTAATGGACTCATCTGAATATTCATGATTCAAAATGTCTTCCTAATTTGGTTTGGAAAAAATGATCTTTCTGTGCACTCTTTATTTCCTTGTATCAAATAATAAGTACTCCTTATTAAAATGTGACAAAATTTCTTGTTCTGATATAATTATTTGACTGACTTACCAATTCCTTCTATAAGCAACTTGCAAAAAAATTCCCATGGCCCACTGAAATCACTCATTCCAATCTTTTTAAAGTGTTCTATGTGATGAAAATATGAGACTGCTACGTCTTTAGGGTTGCGAGCAACGTAAATATATTTACACTGATCATCTTTATTTGTACTTCTTGGAGTAGTGCTGTAGGTTAGGTGGGACTTTATCAGGCGAGGACTTGGTAGAGTTTTGAAATCAATAAGCATCTGCTTGTTAGCATTGCAGGCTAAAGCTTCAAGGAATGGGAATCGAAAAATGTGCTTTTCACTGCTGATTGCTCCCTCGTTGTAGATTTGCCAGACAATTTCCTGCACCCAAGTTGTACCTACGAAAAACGATCAAGTAACAAAAGTGTACAGACAAAAAAATTAATGATCAAGAGAGTTGTCTTAAGATCCCGCCTAAATCTCACCCAATGTAGGATACAGTGAAACCTCTATTAAGCGGACCCCGAATAAGCGAAAACCCTCTGTGAAGCGGACACTAAAATAATTAATAAAGATAAATAAATACATTTAGTTGTCAATAAACTGTAGATTAGACCGATATCCGGCCGTATGATTGTTATCCGCAATCAAAGTTCAGCTAAACGTCTTGCACGAAGTACGGCACAGCTTCCTTAGCTTCCTTCACAACATGGAACTATATCACAGTACACTGAGTAACCGTTGGATGTTACTGCGCTTTTCACGAACATGCGAACTCTAAAGTTCAAAGGCCGCCTTCACAATTGCGTTTTTCGCTGCCGTCAATCATATTTACGATCTCAAGCAACGAACCTTGAAACAGAGAAACACACAAAACGGATCGAAATCTACCAATCACAAATCACAAACCATGACCTTTTAAACCCGTTAAAGTAAAGTATTATTTCCCAAGAGGTCCGTTAAGATGACTGACGGCAGCGAAAAACGCAATCGTCAGTTGGCTTTTGAACTTCACAATTCGCATGTTTGTGAAAAGCGCAGTAATCGGTAACAAACATTGCGCAATTTTTACAAACTTCTATTAAACGGACACCTCTATTAAAAGGACACTTGGGAAGGTCCCGAAGGTGCCCGCTTAATAGAGGTTTCACTGTATAAAGGACTCCGGAGTCCGCTAAGTTTTTCGTATGGAATCCGGAATCCTGGGCTTTGGAAATTAAGCCCTAGGAATCCAGAATCCAGCTAACGATTGGTATCCGATTCAGTTCGTCCGTCAGGGACGCTTTCCATTCAGCCCAAATTTCCCGGAAATTTCGGTTAGAACATCAAATGGAACGGACCATTTCTGGTTTAGCCCGATGGGATTATTTGGGAAGGCCTTTGAAGGTCGGACGGACAGAAGTGTCCCTTTCCATTTGACAAAATTGCCCAATATTTCGGTTTGAAAACAAACCTTCTTCAGGGGCTAAAAGAAGGTTTGTTTTCAGACCGAAATATTGGGCAATTTGTGTAAACATATATTTTTTGTTTTATTCTCTTGTTCTTTTTGTCGCTTCATGTTTTTCTACAAGTTTTATTTGTACTGATCCAGGTCTACAACTGGGAGATCCGGCACCATTCATTGGTTTGTTGCTGTGGACTTGCTGATATTTTTTATATTGAAACCCCTTAGTTCCCGCGCGAGGCCTTAACTTCTTGAGTATCAACATAGCCTGTCCAGCCTTCAATAAGTTTATCACCGTAAGGTCGAGAGACCATTCTTGTAAAGTCGGCAGCTCTAGCCGTTGCGACCGCTTTTTTGGATTCCCGAGGTCAGGATTGTGAGGGTCGCTCCCTTATGAGAGCTTTGACTGTATTCTCGCTCATTTATCATTATCAGGGAGGCCCTGGTACGGTAAATTCCGACAAGCGCGAAGGCCGTGAAGCAGCGACATAGGACAGGAGAAATAATGACAAATGACACAAAGATGTGTTAAAACTGCGACAGCGACAGAGAATAGGTAAAACACCGTGACATGACCCCCCTGAAAGGGCTTCATTAGGTTCGTCAATTGTGCTGTTGTGATGTTGACGTTTGACCCTCGCTAGGGACAACCGAATTAATTTACTTTTATGCCCCCTTCTTGTTCTTTCTTCTTTTTTTTTTAGCTAGTTCTAGCTTTCGCAACAATTTCGAGCCGAGACGCTTGTTACACTGGCTATATACTGGGTAAGGTGCCTAATTTGCTTTGGTTGAAATAATGATAAACAGCACGAACCTGACTTAGGATATGTAACCACAAACACGTCATCTGGTCGCGTCTCGAAATTGGAAATATAGTCGGCTAGCAAAGCTGGATCGTCAGTAAAAAATATTGGAATTTTCAGGCCCAAAACGTCCCAGTATTTTGCTGATCTCCATTCGCCTTCTGTCATTTGAATTACAGGAAAACAGGCCATGATAAATTGTTTCGTGAGCGGTTCCTGAATCGAGCAGTTCAATGTTTTCCGGGGTCAAGCCCGTCCTTGCGATGAAGCGTGACGTTCCGTACCTAATCTATTGGTTCATAAATTGCTAACGTCAAACATCGTCATTCAGCCAAGTCACGGTAATTGAAAACATCCCCCTCCCTCCCCTCCCCCCCAAAAATGCATAAGACAGAAGTATTGTCTTCAATTCGGTCTCCAATTCATGCTAATCGTAGCCTGCGGGAAGCAGACAGGGGCACCCAACGTCAATTTTCGGGAAATATCTGTTCGGAAGACGATTTGAGATCTAGAATTTTCGGAACATTTGCTGTAAAATTTCTTGCTTGCCTGCCTCTCCTAGGATTTTCAACATTTAAAAAATGGTATAATTGCCCATTTTTAACGGATTTTTACCCTAAAAAGGTCACCTAGAATTTTCGGGAGCCTTTTTTCTGTCTGAAATTTTCGAAAAGGTAAGTTTTGATCCCTATAATTTTCGGATCACTAGACTTTCAGCTAGGAAATCCGAACAGATGAAAAATTTTTAGGGGATAAACATATAGCCTGCGAGCAAGCTCTCCTATTTGGGCGAGTGAAACGAGTCTCAAATAGGAGAGCTTGCGCACAGGCTAATAAACGTACGCCTATATCTACCTTTTAAATACTAAAATACGTTTAACAATGCTAGTTTAAGTGGTTTTGAAATATAATCTCGTTGGGTGCCCCTGAGCAGACGTAATTCCCGTCGTCGCTTCTCTCCCTCCTATTTGAGTCCTATTTCGCAGAGAGAGAAGCGACGACCGGAAATACGTCTTCTTCCCGCAGGCTTTGCCAATTGCTATATGCAAACTTTGACGGGGGGATGTGTATTATGTTTGGATGTTTTGGTATCAATAGTTTTAACTTCATCCCTTCAACTTAAAAATTCCTTTTGGCAATACTTCCACATTTCATGCTTCTTACTTTAATAGGATTGTCAAATCATGGAATTTCACTTGTAAACTTGCGCCTAAAAGCAGTTTCTCTAGTATCGATGACCGGTTAAAAACTCTTTGAAACAAACTCTGATAAGCCTTCTGCAAACAACATTTGACGTGGAAAGCCTGTGCACTTTGGTCACTTGTAAGATCTGAATAAGACTCGAATAGAGTGCTTACTTTCAGCCCCTTTGCTCTAACCCCTTTGTTACGGCATCGAGGATCAATTCTCCAAAAGGTTTCACAGTGTAAAGCTTGACCCCGTTTAAAACGACAAACAAGAAAAAACGTTGCACCCCTGTAAAGTACAAAAACTTCTGTTTTATTTCCCTGTTTAGAAAAAGAAAAGAGAGAGAAAAGAAAAACATGTTTTACAGTCTCCGGCCTGAGATACGCCTAAATATTAAAGTGCCAAGTTTTGAAGAATTTCCCATCTCCCCCCTCCCCCCTTCCCCACCACCATTCGGGAGGGGACGTAGGGGGCGATCGATTACCTCGTGATGAACGCGGTTGAAAATTGTTCCTCTTATCCATTGTCTTACACGCAAACTGCTTGCTGGTGATAATTACTAAGAATAAGTAAATAATTGAATCGTCCTCTATATTTCAATTTCTAATCCAATTCCATTCAGCTTTGCCATAACTTCCTTTTCAAATCTTTCATTCAGCTCTGGGGTAAAGTAATTCTTCCAATCTCCAACCACACCCTTACGAAGGAATGGTAAACGCTCTTGTTCATTAGAAACCGTGAACCTATTCAGATTTCTCATCATTGCCTTGAAAGTACACTGCTCTGCAATACGACTGATAAGTTCATCCGATGAGGGCTTGTTTAGAAACTCAGCAATCATTCGAACATGGAATGGTAGATCCTAGAAGAAAGGAAATCGGCATCGATTTAGATTTTCCTTCAACCCACCATCTCTCAGCCCCGGTGGGAGAAGAGGGGGGTACTCAACAAAGTTTTGTACATTGAGGTTGCGCTCCGAGGTCACCAACCCCTTACTTTTTTATACACCATTTTTGGTAAAAAAAAAAAAAAGGACTCCTTTCGTATGCCTACTATTGACATATGGTACCCCTTTATCATACCTGGTTAAGAACTTTGCATTCCTTGTATTTAAATGCTGTAAATGAACCCTCTAAGATATGAATAAGCCTCAAACCAGAACGCTTTCTTTCACAGCCATATAATGCATCTGTTGGTCCTTTTACAGACAAAAACAACAGAATTCCCTATACTCTAACAAGTGTAATCCTTCCCTTTTATATAACGAAAGCCTCAAGAAGGTACCCCTTTCGGTCAAAGCCTCCCTGTATAGGCTATTATAGGCGCTACCACCTGCAGCTGGCTGATTAGGCAGCGCGATCAACACCAATCAGTCCGTAAAACTTACCGGATTGTTCCGCCCCTCCCTCAACATACTCATGCAGGATTCCAACTCCAGGCGAATAACAAATATCAAATACTGAGCTGAAAGTGCTATTATTAATGTAAAAATAAACTGCAACAAACCTTGTGTAAATCTTCATATTTCAGAAACAAAAAAGAGAAGTCCAAAGGCTACTATTACTACTATTACTACTTTTATAATTAACTACTGATATTTTCGCTTGTTGGGAATTGTGCGCCAATAGTGTGCGTACATATTTCGTAGTATATTTTTACCCTTTTTGCTTTATTATATTTCAAGTTCATGGCAACGTTGATTGCTAAATATTTAGCTCATGATCTCCGGTAAGTTCAAGGAACAGTCACGAAGTGAACCGTGATAACTGATAAGGTATTTGGGTTTCTTAATTTATATCGTGGAAATAATACTAAATTAAATGTCAATCACTTTATAATAATTTAGGTTAGGTTTCATGTGTATTGTGTATAGTCGAAGGGAGAAGATCACTCTGTCAAAAACCAACTTGTTGTGCCGAAAATATATGTGACTGAGTGAGTTGCGAAAACTATGACTTTGGGATTCGTTACTGTGAATCAACTGAAGCTACATCAAGTGAATTGTCGTGGATTTCTATGAATACGGGGGCGATTCCCGACAGGCTGATTAGATCTCTTCCTAGAGATCCAACGTTTACAACTAGCAGGATCTTCGTCCACTCAAAACAGCGCAATCTTTTAACGAGATTGTCTTCAATCCATGACTTGTCGCATGTACATGGAAATTGCTTAATTTTAAACAAATGATTTCAAACATTCGAGTCTATAAATGAATATAAGAGTTCTATCCAAGCAAATATATTGTTTCTTTTATCAAATGGTTGTCCACTATATCTCATAATCAAACTCTAATCCAGTTCCTTTTATTTTTCCCAACACTTCCTTTTCAAATCTCTCATTCAGTTCTGGAGTGAAGTAACTCTTCCAACCTCCGACCACGCCCTTCCGTAACAACGGCGAACTCTGAACGTCGTCCCTTGTCTTGTAGCTGTTCTCATTTTCTTCCATTCCCTTGAAAGTGCACTGCTCTGCAATACGATTGATGAGTTCATCTGAGAGCGGCTTGTTCAGGAAATTCACAATCATTCGCACTTGGAACGGTAGATCCTAGGAGGAATGACAGTTGTATTGTTTAGATTTAATTTTCATTGAGGTTCAGAGGAAGTTGGTTAGCTCTTTTTTTAAGTTATTTAATTAATTTTATTTCTAATCAAACAGCACTTGACTGCTTTCAAAATTTGTGATGTTACGTAGGAGACAAAGAAAAACGATCTGAGTCCCGGACAGGGATGTAAACCCCTACAAACTCCTCCATGGACTTATATATATTTATTTATTTTGAGCGGGGTGGTAGTTTAAGGTCGCGGTATCCATATTTTCGGCTGGGGTGTTCATTATGGATGACTTAGATAACTTAAAGATTAAAAACTTTTAGAATCAACTATCTCCCTAAGATTCTAAAAGAATGAATTTGAGAGAAGCAAACACTACTTTTCTCGCAGAAAGTGTTTAGTCGAGAATTTTACTTCGATTCATTATATTATCCGTTGACTATTCGAGCGTTTCAAAATCCTCAAAGAGATTCTTCCCGAGTTGATCCTGAGAAAGAAAGAAATATAAATATTAAATATTGTCTTGTCTTGACTTCCCTCCACCCCCTTACATACTCAGGATTCAATCTCCGGCAGGCGTATAAGATATCAAACTAGCCACCGAGCTAAGAGTTATCGGGTTATTATTGTAAGAGAACATTACTTTGTGTAAATCTTCATATTTGAGAAACAAGACATTAGGATCATCCTTATGTTTCCACCAGCCAAGAACATGATCATTCCAGGCGCTATAGGCAACTTCACAAAACAAAACTGGCATTATGGTGTGTTTTATATAGCCTGCGTGGCCACTCGCATTTTCCTTCCTTGCTATCCCCCACCCCCTTTCAAACGCCTGCTACGCAGGCTATGTTTTATATACATAAAGGATTAGATTAACTGCAAAAACCGAGGACGAAGATCCTGCTACTTGCAAACGTTGGATCTCTAGAAAAGAGATCTAATCAGCCAAAATATAAAGAACCAAAGACGACAAGTCCAATGTCTACTGCAAAACTGATTCATAACAACGTGTATTGTTTTTTTCATAACAATATTTCGGCTGGCCATACCAGCCTTCTGTAAACCTGAAGAAGTCTGGTATGGCCAGCCGAAATATTGTTATAGAAAAACAATACACGTTGTTATGAATCGGCTTTGACGATTATTCACTTAAGGCGGAGCCAATATTTTTGAATAATCCCCGAGACTAAGTTACCTGAGTTATTTTACTGGAGATATTTAGAATAAGAGACCGGGTGGGTTTTGAAAATTTATAGCTTTTTTAAAAGACATCATATGAGATAGAAAACGATCTATCTCAGCGATCGTTGTCGCTGCGATCGCTGAAGAGTGGTTTCAATATAATCGCTATGGAAACCGGGCGGATTAAGAAGTACTTCTTCCTAAAAATGTGACGAAAGTTTTTGTTCTGATATATTTGACTAACTTACCTGCATTTCCTTCTATAAACAACTTGCAACAAAATTCCCATGAGCCATTGAAATCACTCATTCCAATCTTTTTAAAGTGCTCGGTGAAATGAAAATATGACACTGCCACATCCTTTGGATTCCGAGCGACGTAAATGTATTTACATTGAGCATCTTTATTTGCACTCTTGGAGTAGTGTTGTGGGTGAGGTGGGTCTTTATCAGGCGAGGACTTGGTAGAGTTTTAAAATCAACAAGCATCTGCTTGTTAGCATTGCACGCGGAAGCTTCAAAGAATGGGAAACGAAACATTTGCTTTTCACTGCTGATTGCTCCCTCGTTGTAGATTTGCCAGACAATTTCCTGTACCCAAGTTGTACCTACAAACAATGATCGAGTAACAAAGAAGTAAATAATCGAGAGAGTTGTCAAAAGATCCAGCCTCAATCTCATCGCATGTAAGATACAGTGAAACCTCTGTTAAGCAGACCCTTAATTAAGCGGACACCCTCTATTAAGCGGACATTAAGCCGGTTCACGAAATTAACGCCTTATATTTCCCTTCACGAACCCCTATTCAGCGGACACCTCTATTAAGCGGACGCGGACACTAAAATAAATTGTATTTGGCTAATTACTATTTTTAAAAACCTCTATTAAGCGGACACCGGACTGAATTGACAACAAGACTGGTATTGGATTACGTCCGCGAACCACGTACTGTAGTCGATTAATAAACTAAGATAAATCAATACATTTAGCTGTCGATAAACTGTGTGCCGATATCCGGCCTTATGATTGTCATCCGCAATTAAAGTTTACCTAAAAGTCTTGCACAAAGTTCATCTTCCTTTAATAGTTTGCTAAGCTTCCTTAACAACATGGAACTTTATCACAGTGCAGAGTAACCGTTAAAAAACATTGCCCAATTTTTACAAACCTCTAAAGCGGACACTTGACGGATCCCGAAGGTGTCCGCTTAATAGAGGTTTCACTGTATTCAAGACTCCGGAGTCCGCTAATTTTTTCGTATGGAATCCGGAATCCTGGCCTTTTTAATTTGGATCCGAAATTCAGCTCTAGGAATCCAGAATCCCGCTAATGATTGGAATCCGGATCAGTTCGTCCTGTAGGGACGCTTTCCATGCATTCAGTCCAAATTGACCTGAGCCTTCAATAAGTTTATCACTGACAGTAGGGTCGATGGACAATTCTTGTAAAGTCCAGCTCTAGCTAGTTGCGACCAAGTACATGGATCTGCTGAGGGTCATGGTTATGAGGGTGGCTCCCTTAGGAGAGCTTTGACTGTATTCTCGTTCATTTGTAGCATTAGGGAGGTCCTGTTAGGTCAAATTCCGACAAGCGAGATGGCCGTGAAGCAGCGACATAGAATGGTAGAAAGGGCGACAAATTAAACGACTCAAAGATGGGTTAAAATTGCGACAGCGACAGAGAAAAGTCCAAATACAATAGTGAAACACTGACAGTGACATGGTCCCCCCCCCCCCCCACCCCGCAAGAGGGCCTCATTAGGTTCGTCACTTGTTGACGTTTGACCCTGAATAGGGGCAGCCGAATTAGTTTACTTTTATGACCGACCCTTTCTTGTTCTTTCTTCTTTTTTTCTAGTTCTAGCTTTCGCAACAATTTCGCGCAGAATCATCCGCTTGTTACGTTGGCTATACTGGGAAAGGTGCCTGAAATAATGATAAACAGCACAAACCTGACTTAGGGTATGAAACTACAAACACGTCATCTGGTCGCGTCTTAAAATTGGAAATATAGTCGGCTAGCAAATCTGGATCGTCAGTAAAAGTTAATGAAATGTTCACGCCCAAAACGTCCCAGTATTTTGATGATCTCTATTCGCCTTCTGTCATTTGAATTACAGGAAAACAGGACGTGATAAATTGTTTCGTGAGCAGTGCTTGAATCGAGCTGTTGAATTTTTTCCGGTTGAAGCCAGTTCCTGCGATGAAGCGTGACGTTCCCTACTAATCTATTGGTGCATGAATTGCTAACATCATACATCGTCATTCAGCCAAGTCACGGTCCCCTACCGTGCCGGAGGCGATTATTTCTTTTTTCTTGCCAAAACGAGGCAAGACGATCATTCGTTAGCCTCCCACACAGGCGTTTTTAGGGGAGCTCGTTTTTCATCCCTCCCCATGAATGAAAAACGAGCTCCCCTAAAAACGCCTGCGTGGGAGGCTAATCATTCGTGGAAGGCGACTATTTCCAATTTTGCTCCACAGGGAACCCGAACGCTGTATTGTATATAGAAAAAAATTAGATGTATTTACGCTGTATTAGCTAATAAAATAATAAGATGCATTTTCCTTTGTTCCTGTGTTTTTATGAGTCGTTTTGGAAGGGATTTGAATCCGATCAGAGACGGTTAACATTGCTGGCTATCAAATGCGTCTGCTTGTCTGGCGCGTCGTAAAAAAGACGGCGTTGCTAAAACGAGGGTAAGGGTAACACCAAGGGTAAGGGTAAGGGTAAGGGTGAGGGTGGGGGTGAGGGTGAGGGTGGGGGTGGAGGGTGGGGGTAAGGGTAAGGGTAAGGGTGACTGTTAAGAAGGCATATTGTCATTAATTCCCTGTCATTAATCATCATCTGGCATATTATATTACCCTTATCCTTACCCCCACCCCTACCCTTGGTGTTACCCTTACCCTCGTTTTAGCATAAGATGCTCGAATTTAATTTCGTCTCACGTTTAGTCTCTTTCGTTATTTTATTTTATTTTTTTTTAATTGTTAACTATTAGCTTTACACTAACGGCCACAAGAAGAGTAAAGAGACAAGGGATGAAACTTAATTGAGGGCACTTTTATGTTCTCTTTTCGTCACCTTTAAAATGAATTTTTTAGGATTTTTCAAACTTTATCGCATTTATTCCAATTCGCTGAAAATGTCTTATGTAGGCAAATCTCCCTGGAGTTGATTTCTTGGGGACCACACTCAAGTTTAGAAAGAGAACGAAAATTTTGTCGTCGCTTGTTTGCGTCCTTCAGAAAACGTAAAATTATTCACTATTTTCACGTCGTAGTCGTGCAGCAACGGCAAAGGAATGTGCAAAAAAGTGTGATAGCGCGTGCAAACGTATCGCGACCAAACAAACATCCCTGTGCGGGGCAGGGTTTTGTGGTTTTGAACTGCCAACGGTCGCGATACGCTGATTGGTGGATTTGAATCGACGCGCATACCTCAAATGCCTTTGGTTGAGATTTTTGCACCGGTCATGTTGAGAAAGCTGGTCTTTGCTTTGCGAGCAGCTAGCAATTTAGAGATTACAACTCGCGAGCAGCGAGCACTTCTTATATTTTCCGCTTGCAGTAATCCATATGGAAATCCCTTTTTAAAAAATAAAACAGAAAATATTTTAAAACGGGGTTTTAATTTAGAGCGCACCCATCCTCGGAGACCCAAGGGCAGTCAGTCGGGTCAGGAGAAAAGGCGGGAACAGAACTATTTCCAAAAATGCAAACAGATGCCGGCTCCTGATTGGGCACAAAAAATACTTTGTATTTATATTATGCCTAATCGGCGAACAGTTCCTCCTGAGTTCTTTTCGTGAGTTCGTATACGACGGCTATCTCGATCACGGCTTGTCTGGCTCATGCACCAAAGAAATGAAAGCAGTCAGGAAACTTTCAGTTTTATATAAAACCCCCATCTGATTTCAAAATATTGTCTGCCGGAAAACTAAAGACGCTTTTCCAAAAATACAAGCTTGAGCTTGTTTTGCCATGTGAAGGTATTGCTAATTTGACTTTCTCGTCTCCGCCGCATCTTAAACTTCCTATTATTTACGATACATTGTGATCCGTAAAAATATTCTCGGGGCAAATTGAATTGCTCCTGCTGATGGCATCCCAAACGTTTTTTCGACTCATCGGTAGTTCCTTTGTTTCTGGCTAGGAAAGTAGAAAATAAAAGTTTTCCTTGCACGCACAAGCTTGGTGAACGAACCGGCAAAGTGTGGCGAGACAATAGCCGTCGTGTACGAACCTATGAAAAGAACTCAGGAGAAACTGTTCGCCGATTGGGCACAATAATACAAAGCATTTTTTGCGCTCAATCAGGAGGCGGCATCCGCTTCAATTTTTTGAAATAGTTCGGTGGGAGTCAGTACCCAGGGGCTCTTTCGCCCGTACTTGAAAACTTTCGTCCTGCCTTTTCTCTCGACCCGACTGACTGCCCCTGGGTCTCCGAGGATGGAGCGCACCAAGTTCTTTGAACCTTGTTTGTGTGACACGTTATCGAGATCTAACCAATTACAGTCGCGTTTGATGCCAAACGACGTCACATTTTCGCTTCACTTCATTACGCACTTTTTTAGCCTGCGAAAACATCTGTTTCTCCTCGCTCTTCGTCGCTGAGGACGTTTCGCGCGGAGGAACGTCTGCGTCTCAGCGACAGAAATTCCATACTGATGACGTAAAATCTGTCCAGAATCCGGTCAGAAGCGCTGATTGGTCGACGGAGCAGTTACATTGTTTTAGCTATTGTTTACAAATGACAGACAAAAGACAAAAGGCCAAAAAGGTCAAATGTAAAAACGAAGAATCTCTAACAAAACAGTCAATATTTGTGCAATATAGTCTTCTCTAGAAGAAGCATTTGAGTTTTGCTGGAGCTCGTGGGCAGATCAACACAACACTTTACCAAAATCGACCAGAAGACACGCAAAATTAGACAAATTTATATTTGGAACCCCATGGCTACCGGATTTATTATGTAAACATTGATTTGCGTCATCAGTATGGAATTTCTGTCCCTGAGTCGCAGACGTTCCCACGCGCGAAACGTCCTCAGCGACGAAGAGCGAGGAGAAACGGATGTTTTCGCAGGCTAGCACTTGTTCGTACTGATCAGAAAGCAAAGGTCACAAGAAGAACAATCATATATAACAACCAAATATTTAACAATTATTCCTCGAGCCCGAAAGGGCTCTGAGAGCCCATGAGGGCGAGAGGAATAATTTTTTTAGTAAAATCCAACTAGTTGGTCAGAAATATCGAGAATAAAAAAATTTTAGCTAGTTAAAGCTAGACTTTAATCCTTTTTTGCCGC